TTGCTGAAACTCATGTCCTCTGTTTCAGTTTAGCAAATCTTGCAACGGTGTGGAATTCAACATGGTTCCTCCTGAGTCAGGAATTAGCCGAGTAAAACTTGGTGATTAGGCGTGACCCCTCCATGCTTTGTCCCGTCTCTCAGCTGACATCGTATACCTTGCTTTTGGGTGCAATGAGTCAGAAAATGAGCAGAAAGCCCAAAGAAACCATTTAAATGACTTCTAATTATATTTGACAAGCGATACGCTAGTCAAGCAGGACCCAATAATCCTTTTAAATGCCATCAGCAAATGTCTCTTGAAATTCCCTTTTAATCTCACCTGCAGGTAAAGAGTTAGGCAATAATGCAACTTAATATATGCACTGGTTTGTTCCTCAACGTTAACCTGGAAACGCGTCTTTGGCCACAGTCTCCTTACGAACGTTTTCAGGTGTTTTACTGTTTTCTTACAGTTAGTTTTCATTGAACATGCGACTCTACAGGCCTCAGTTGGAAGGTTTGGTGTTCAAATACATGACGGGTTTATTAAAGAACGGCTTAAAAGCAGCCTGACTTGTCTGGATGGGTTGCAAGAGATAGCTTTGTCTCGCAACGAGCCCCCTGACACATGCCATGACATATCAAAGAGTTCAACCCGCGTCATTTCAACAAATCTGACGTGGTCTCTAGGGTGAATGAAGGCCTTGTGAGACATTGTCCCTCGAAAAACAGCTATTGCACTCTTGTTTCAGGAAATGGAAGTCAGTTGGAGGAGTGTGTGCATGTGAGTTGGTAAGGTGGGATGGGGAACAACAGGATTTGGAGTGTTACTCGTTTATTTTCATACTAAACAAACATCTTGCGTGTGATTGGCTAACGGCAACACAACTCTTCTGCTGCTTCTGTTCACTTTCCTTCCGTAGGTATAAAATGCACCATTTTGTCTCCACAAATATCACAAGCCTGAATGTGCTCTGCCATGTTGTAGAGTTGCTAGCGGTTAGCATCACCTCTCCTAGCCACTAAACCGACACAGACTTCTGAGATCGCGAGCTAAGGTGGGTGGGTCTTTCAATGTCGAATGTAGACGATAGCGGTTGGAGAGTACTTACGCGCTCAGCATGCATGTGCTACTTGGAGTGATGATCATATTTCAAAAAGAACAAGTATTACCCCCAAATTCCACTACCTCCGCTCCGGTCCGCCCCCGCCTTCCGCAGCCGCTCGCTTCCGAACTAAATTTTTACTGGTACCCGCTCTACAACGGCTCCGCTCCGGTGCGGAGACCTGAGGGGGGCAAACAAGCATGCGCGGGATTTTCGAGATCTTGCGATACAGTCCGAGCAATAAACGCGGAAGTTAGATCCAAACACCCGTTGTGTGGGAGAAGCATCGACATGAACTGTTTAATCTGCCCATCATTTGTGTTGAGAGATCAGCAGTGTTTGGATCAACAAAGTGTGACTCCTTTGATAGTGGAAACTGTATTTATGGCTTACTTTTGTGCATTTAAACTTCAGCCGCCATTGATAGTTGTTAAAAGTTGTTAAACCTGTGCATATGAAACAAAAAACGCCTTTTGTTTATCGATTTATTGTGAAAAACGGAAGTTGTGCTTGCTCCTTTTCCTGTTGGGCCGTTGTGATTTCTGTCCATTTACTGCGGAGGTGCTCCGGCGTCCGGCAAAAATAGGATCGATTCTATTTTTGCCGGACGCCGGAACAGAGGGCGGCGCACGACGCCGCACTGTCGGAGCACGGCCGCAGTAGTGGAATTGCTCTGACTGACTACAACGGGACCGATTTTGCTCCGGCGTTCGTGTCGGAGCGGAGCGGAGGTGGTGGAATTTGGGGGTTATATGTTTCTCAGGTAGCCTCTCCTTTAATTAAATCAGTCCATACTTGGATCAACTTTTCAAAGTCTAGGTGAGGTCTTCAGGTGTGTTAAGAGTTCAGTAAGAAAGTATGAAGGCCAGCGTGGTTGCTTTGCTAGAGAGGCTTCGTCTTTGGGGATTTGAAGTCGGTGGTGGTTGGAGGCAGCAGTGGGGTGTAGCCTTGCTTCTGTCAGTGTGGTCCATGGCAGCTGTGGCTACAATGTAGCGTATTACCACTAGTGCGTGAATGTGTGTGTGTGAATGGATGAATGGTTGTGTTGTAAAGAGCCTTGAGGGTGGGGGTGGGGTGGGGGTACAAATTTGCCAGTCCTTAACTCACTAGGCCCATGCCTTGGCAAAACTATCATGCGACCCACGTTATATACTATGTAACTATCATTGGCATCAAAAAGTACTTCAATGTATGCACTTGGACTCAGATGAAAACATCTATTAGATTTTACAATGGTCCACTCAGAGCTCAAACCTTGAAGATCAACTTTTCTAATGTTTTCAATACATATTCAGTGATCTCTAGTAGGAACGAATGCCTTGTAGGTCATTCTCCTTGGGGGGGAGGGGAGCTCCAGTGCGCCTGCTTCAGGAAGTAGATGTGATCTAGATCAGAGCGGAGCTTCAGATGGCAGGATTAGGAGTTTTATTCCCTGATATTTGGGCGAATCTCCTCTGATTGGCTAACAGCAATAGGACAATCCCATTGACTGTTTGCTCTGCAACGTTGATGTTCATCTCCACAAATAACACACGCCTGGAGGAGTTCTGCTGTGTGGTGGAGTTGCTAATGCTAATGGTTAGCTTCTACTAGCTGAGACGTTCTCTGCTGTTTCCTGGACGCCAAACCACCAACAGCCTTCCCCTTCAGGAGTCCATATGGGTCCATGAATGACCAGGATTTTTCAAATCCCAGAGTTTCACCGTCAGCTAACGCAGGAGATAGGTGTAGGAGACTATTTTATAATCAGAAATAATAATTTAAAAAGTTTTTTTTCAGTAGAGTTGATCTTTACTTTGGATGAAATGATGTGCAAGGATAGAGAAAGAGAAACCTCAACATTACGTAGAAGAGCATCAAATTTAATAAGAGTTTTAAGATCTTGTGTTTTATTTAGTCAACATGTTGGAAGATGCGACGTTCACCTATGTTTGTAATAACTTAAAAAATAACATTTGTCTTTATTTGATGCTATAACAGCTGGAAGAGGGAGTCCCTTGTAACACCAGTGGTGTGTTGGTAATAGTCCAGTAGGAGAGCTGATGGGTGGTCTTTGACAGAAGGCAGTAGGACTTCATTACTTTTCCAACCCTCATCAGAGCCTCTCTCATTAAAAGCTTACATGACCCTGCATGTAATGCACCATACATTACACAGCCACCGAGTGTGTCCTGCAAAGGCAGCATTAAATTACACCGGCGTAGGAAGGCGGGTCATTACGCTGGATGGCAGATCATTTTCTGTTCAACTCAGCCCGCCTTGTTTTCACTCCCCGCTCTCATTCCACGCACAATAACCCTCTCAGATTAAGGGCTTAAGGCGCTAGAGATACCACAGATGAGCTATCACTGAATATTTCATAGCAGCACCGCATTCGATTCCTAATTACATTTTAAACAGCCTGATGTTTAAGGAGCCCTTTTAACCATTTACTTCAGAAGATTTCAACACCGTCGCTGATTTAAATGTAATCAAGCTGTTTTTGTGCAAATATTTTTCACCCCAAAGCCTTTTGAGCAGATTTGTTCACGGCACAAATTTAAACAGAGCTTCGGGCTGTCGTCTAAGCTCGGAGACGGAGAGCATTCTGAGTCGCTTCTCGTGGAGAAACAATAACCGCTAACGATGTTAATGTTCTTAAAAATCCCTTCTAGAAACAATGACTCGTTTTTATTTTGGGCTGATTACACCTCTCTGACCTGGAGCTCTGAAGATTAACAACCAACTTTATAAATTCTTTTTAGAGCTACTCTTACCCGGTTTAGCCTCGCCGGATCAATAACGTTGCCTCCAAATGAATCTTTCACATAGTTAAATTCCATTTAGTTTATTATAACGTGTAATTGGATTTCAGCTGCCTTCAGTTTGAAAAAGCATGGACTCATGCCATTTTTACTACGAATACGTTCAATTTAATACACATTCTTGCAATAAATAAAGCTTTAGCTCTTTTTTTTAATATTTACCATCTACTTTGTCGACAATATCAACTGTTTGTTCTGTTTTTCATATTAAAGCTTTAAAGAGCAAGTCACCCTTACCCCCAAATTCCACTACCTCCGCTCCGGTCCGCCCCCGCCTTCCGCAGCCGCTCGCTTCCGAACTCAATTTTTACTGGTACCCGCTCTACAACGGCTCCGCTCCGGTGCGGAGACCTGAGGTGGGCAAACAGGCATGCGCGGGATTTTCGAGATCTTGCAATACAGTCCGAGCAATAAACGCGGAAGTTAGATCCAAACACCCGTTGTGTGGGAGAAGCATCGAAACGAACTGTTTAATCTGCCCATCATTTGTGTTGAGAGATCAGCAGTTTTTGGATCAACAAAGTGTGACTACTTTGATAGTAGAAACTGTATTTATGGCTTACTTTTGTGCATTTAAACTTCAGCCGCCATTGATAGTTGTTAAAAGTTGTTAAACCTGTGCATATGAAACAAAAAACGCCTTTTGTTTAGCGATTTATTGTGAAAAACGGAAGGTGTGCTTGCTCCTTTTCCTGTTGGGCCGTTGTGATTTCTGTCCATTGACTGCGGAGGTGCTCCGGCGTCCGGCAAAAATAGGATCGATTCTATTTTTGCCGGACGCCGGAACAGAGGGCGGCGCACGGCACCGCACTGCCGGAGCACGGCCGCAGTAGTGGAATAGCTCTGATTGACTAGAACGGGACCGATTTTGCTCCGGCGTTCGTGTCGGAGCGGAGGTAGTGGAATTTGGGGGTGACTCCACCCCCACTTCCTGTTTGAAAAATGGAACAAATGCTGTTGTCTGGCAGACCAAGAGGGCAGAGCTGCTAACAAACACACACACACACACACACACACACACGCACACGCACACGTACACACACACACACACACACACACAACAATATTGTGACATCACAATGTAGCAGCTAAACAAATATGGTGCTTACAAATTAGTGTCGGCACGGTCGGGGTTTGGTGGGGCTGGATGGCATGAGTTCGGTCTCGTACGGGCGATGTAGTGGTCTCATAAATCTGAGGGACCTCTCAGGAATGCAGAAGTCCCCGAGCCTGTGGGCGGAGCTTAATACGAGCAGGAAAGTCCGCGGTGTCCTCTATAATAAGTAGGGATGCATATTATTAGGAACACCTGCGATATGCGATAACAGTGATTAATATTGCCATGACGATATTACTTGTGATAAATAGAAACAACTCAGGAACAAAAATAATCAAAAACAAATAAATTACAAAAAATGACAAAAAATCATAAAAATGAGAAAAGCAAAAATGCGAGGAAAGGGGTAAAAATAATGAACAAGAAAAGGCGATCAGTGGATCCCAGGAAAAGCAGAATCAGCAGAAAGTGCAGAACTAAGCTAACTCGGGTGTTCGCTAACCATCAAAGTTAAGTGTCGGAGCGGGCCGCGAGCATCTAACCTATGAGAACCCACCCAACTGGCCAAATGGGTACTTTGCGATATGCATATTGCACATGCTGATATCACGATAACGATATATTTGCGATATATTGTGCAGCCCTAATAATAAGGTAAACAAAGGTGGGCATGAGCTGTGCTACTTTTGGAGACTCGGAAACACATCATTTTATTAATTTTCTGTTTGTGTCCTCATAATCTTGGGTCACACACACTGCTTTCTCCTGTGAGCAGCTGTCTGCTCGCCAGGGTGAGAGCTGCGATGCAGAGGACACACACACTCCTCCACTGAGGCTGGTTTGTAAGGTGAGACAATACTCTGGCCTGAACAACACAGCCCCCGGGATCATAAGCCTCTCAAACCCTCATGAAGGTGGTGATGTGTTTCCACTCCAACCCTCACCTCACCCAAGCGGCTGAAATAATCTTCTTCTGTAAGCTAGCCAGGCTACGCTTTGGAGATACCATGAAGGGCTCCATGTGGACGTCTGAGTTGAGCTGCTGCTCCTCCTCATTTAAAGGAGTCAGTTGTGGTGGTATGTATCTGAGTAGGACGTTCTACTGCGGGGAGGCCCTGGGAAATCACCTCCCTGGCCTTGGAGCACTCTGAATCCCCAGGAGAAGCTGGAGAGTCACTGGGGATGGGATGTCCGGGCAACAATCCTGAACGTGTTATCTCCACCAGTCGACCTTGGATAAGTGGTGGGAAATACACGAACGGTGGTGACTTGAAGCGCAGGCACTTTTTGTGTTGAGGTAAACAGGTTAGTCAATGTGAATGTGTCCATCACACATTACTGTCAACAGTGTTTGGTTTCAAATGGTGGGCCAAAGGGATCTGCCTCATTATGTAATCAATAACCTTATCTAGGGTTTGGGTTTTGGTCTTTCCACCTCCAGTTCTCCTCTGCCTCCGCTCGGCCACACCATCATGGAAGGAGTCCCGGCTACGCCGCCGATCAGCGAAAGCAGGAAGCCATACATTTCATATGAACAAATGTCAAAATTAAGATTGTTGAATAACTACCTGACACCAGCCTTAGTCGGAGCTGTTTGAATACATAACAGAGCATCATCATAGATGTAATTGTGTTTTTCCATCATACTGAGGAACATCTCAAACTTCAGCGGACGGTCCCACAAGCTAGCAACTCAAAAAAGAAGGAGCTAGCGCTGTTCACGTCCGTAAAGCGACGGAGTCGTTCCAGCGCTGCACACACCCACCTGCTGCACGCACCGCCGCCTGCTTCTGCTTCCTGCCACCCACACAAGCTGAAGTAGGGATTCAGAGTGGCTCAGATCTCAGTAATCTCCAGATGAACATCCTCCCTCTCCCAGCCGAGGGGTTTCCATCAAAGCTGAACGTCAGGACGGTTACAATGAGGTCCGTGATGAAAGTCATGGTGCTGCTTTGCTGACACCACAAGCTGCATTCTGGATGCAGGCCAGAACTCACCTCCTTGTCTTCACTAAACTGTTGCTTAGCCACGCACAGAAGTCTGCAGAGCTGTGTGTGTGTGTGTGTGTGTGTGTGTGTGTGAGGTAAAAGGATCCAACGTGCTGGAGCCTGTACTAATATCCCTCAGATCCTATCTGAAATCTACATCCTCTTGTCGATGTGGCGAAACAAGGTTTTTTCCCTTTAAGGTGACTAAATGGAGGAGGGTTTCGTCCTCTGGAGAACGGCTCCCATTTCCTCCATGAGCTCTTGGGCTCCAGAGTCCCGTTTGTCATTTCCACTTTCATTTCAGCCGCCTCAGCGCCAGGAGCCCCCCCACCGCACTGCACATTTTCAGGCGTCCTGCTGGAAGACGAGCCTCTGGGCCTGGCAGGAGCAACGGCGCTGCTTTTAAACGCCGATCAGCTCGTCCAACACTCCCATAATCTCCTGCCCCCTCCTTTATCTTCGAGGACGAGCTGAAAGTAATGAAAGCGAGGTCTGCGCCAGCCAGTGTGGCCGTGTAATCTATTCTCCGATGCCCTTCATCAAAGGGAAGGGGCCACAAATAAAATACATCAGATTACTAATTGGCCTTGCGCTGGATGGAGGGTGGGGGGGTCACAGCGCTGATGTCTGACCGGGTCATCCAGACCCAGGGGGTGACGGATACCGGCACTTATTATGCTAAAGGTGTGATGGGTGGAGAAATAGAAGCAGAGCTAAGGAGTGGGGGGTCAGGCTGAGTGTTGGACCTTGTGATGATAGGAAGTCCCTAGAGGGAAAGGCGAAACGGCCTCCCACTGCAGATGAGCGCACGTGACTGGTTTTCCCCCCCGTGAGCAGAACAGTTAGGTGCACGTTTGCAAGCTGCTGCAAGGTCAGAGCGGGCCTCATTGTTCAGTGTCATAACGGAGGGTGGGGAGGCGGGCCGGCGTGTAGAGGTGGGAACGAGGAATCGTTGTCTCTGGGGGGGCGCAGGAGAGATCCATGCCCTTGTCGAGTCCTTGAACTTCTCCGCTCTCTCTGCACACAAACAGAAAATAACTGCCTTTCTGACACAAAAAGTCCAGAAGACGGAGCGGCTATTTCGTGACTCATCGTTCGTCCTTTCCACCTCGAGGCTACCGCGCAATTAGTTTGACAAGCAGGTTTCATCTACAGACAAGCCAAACTACGGATTCTCACAAAACAGTTCAAGTGAGCTCAGGGATCTGCTCTAGAAGCTTAAATGTCCAGGAATCAGGAACCAGGTTTCCTCGGGTGTGCATCACAACAGTCGAACATTGCACCCCTTAAGAATTTGTGAATTTCCATCCAAATATGAAGGTAATTTGAGGCAAGATTTCTCATCTTTTCCTCTGCAGCCAGCATGCAAATAGCAGGAGTTTATTCACAGACGTAAACAGCCACAGGCCTCGCATCCTGAATTCAGTGCCATTAATCCATTTGTGTTGCTGGGACCACGCTGGAGGACAGGGACGGGTAGAACCGGAGAGGCGAGGACCGTCGTCAGAGTGGAAAGTCTGCTGGTGATGAAGCGGCTCTACTTTAACCATATAAGGAACATTAACGATTAAAAAGAAACTGGTGGGAAAACAGAGGAGTGGGCCCGTCACTTAAAGCCCGGGCCAGACTAATCTCTTGTCGGGACAAAAGACGGTGAACGTTATTGAATTGAATTGAATGTTTTTACGTGTGTCTGAGTGTTTCTGAAGACGAGGATGCAACTCAGCCATAATACATTGATATTGTTTACCTCTAACCCCGGGTTTCCACGGGAGCCGTCAGCAGCACGTTACTGCAGCAGCACGCCTTGCTCGCGTAAGCTGCTGCTTGGCCCTTCCCACGAGACGCGAAGCAGCAGGGGAGCAGCTGTCACCGACCGAGCACGAAGTCACACGAGTGACTTCGTCAGTAAACACAACAACAAGCAGGAGAAAATTACAACATGGGTTGTGTTTTATGTTCTGTCCGTTTTATAATCGCCAATACGGACCTGAAAAACAAAGGAGACCGCTAGCTAGGTGATAACTTCTCACGGGGACGCACAGTTAGTAACGTTTTTTTAAAAGTAAAGCAACCGGAAGGCAGTACGTTCTTTATTCTGAAAATCTCGGGAGCTCCTCTCCATTTCCACGTCCGATTTCCTGTCTTTCCTTCCCCAAAAATGTCGAACTTGACCTGTTTCAGAGGCGTCGCGCGTAGAAAATAGAACCGGCGCGTAAAGGCCGCGACATGCTGCTCCTGAGACGCGGCCGACTCGCGCTGCTGACGGCTGCTGACGGCTCCCGTGGAAAGCCGGGGTAAGGCTTTGACCCATCATTTAATCCTCTTAGATTTGAACTAATAATTATTTACAGCTGCTGAATTTAATCTCCCCCCCCCCCCCCCATGAAGACATACATTTTTTTCATGACCTTTTTACTTAAAATATTGTTTCTGTCGTGATTTAACTAAATAAAAATTGCACACGACCAGTTTCAGTGATGTCGATTAACTACTAACAATGAGGATTTGACTCCCCTTCTCCGCTTTATAGCCGGACCCACAGATATAAACCCAGACATTCATGCAAAGCTCAGACGGATGTACAGTCATTGATAGACCCTCGTCCCTCCTTTTGTCTATTCGAAGGCTAAATTTGGAGAAAGTGTGTGTGACGTTTACTACATCTTACCACGGTGCCACAGCATCGCCCCTTTGGACTGAAATTAGCTCTAAATTACTTTTACATAACATCCCACCGACACAAAGCACTTAGTATGCTCTGCAGCCCACTTTGAGCCACCAGAGATGCTACAAAGCCTGCACTCCCACAGATGGAGGAAAAGGGTAAGGCTGTGTGGCAGAGTGCTCACGGGCAGAACTTTAAACGTTGAGCTGCAGGAAGGAAAAGTTTTCAAATTTTACATCTTGTCAGACAAGATGGAAACACAAGACCGAGCTCCCCAGCCCTCTCTTTACTTTGCTCTCAATTTTTCTTCGAACAACAATGAGCTGGTTGACAAAAGGCCGACGTGACGCGCGAGCATCTAAAACTCAGGCTTTTGAACGGGATTCTAATTTTCTGCTGCATCACAACACTGTTGTACCAAAGTACAAGTCCATACAACGAAGGCAAAGCATTAAAAAAGCGCTTTATGCAGTGTGCTGCCGATGCGTGGAGGGAGGGTCTATTCCTCTGCAGAGTTTAGCTTTATCAGAGTCGTGCATGGTTAAGAGTATGCAATCGCTC